TAGAGATTTTTGTACACCTATGTTAATAGAAAAGAAGTAACTTTATATATTCAACTTATTACTTTCTTACATATAAAGTGCTTCTAAAGTGCAAAACAGCTAAGTTTCCAACAGCTTATTCTTTTTTTTTTTTTTTTTTAAGAGAAGGTCTTACTTTGTTGCCTGGGCTAGAGTACAGTGGTATCATTATAGCTCACTGCAACCTTGAAACTCCTGGGCTCAGGTGATCCTCTTGCCTCAGCCTCCTGAGTAGCTGGGACTACAGGAACAGGCCACCATGCCTAGGTAATTTTTAAATTTTTTGTAGAGATGGGGTCTTGCTATGTTGCCCAGGCTGGTCTTAAACTCCTGGCCTCAAGTGATCCTCCCACCTTGGCCTCCCAAAGTGCTAGCATTACAGGCATGAGCTACCATGCCCAGCCTTAAATATTTTGTGCTTAAGTAATTTAAACATCCTTACATTTTTAAGGTAGTCCATTTTAGATGATTACATTTTGATTTCTGGGTTACCAAAGTGATTTTAATGACATTTCCATTATAAAGTATAATAGTAGTTTCTTTGAAGCCTATTGGTATAAAATTCACTTATATTTTTGTGTTTTTCTCTATAGATGACAGATGTTCTCTGTTAGATCTCAATAGATACTGGCCATGAGCTTTCTGGTTATTCTATCTCCAAGGAGAGACTGTTAGTTACACATTTTTTTCTTAGGACTCTGGAGTTTGTAGTAGGCTTTGTATCTAATTTCACTGCATGCCTTGGGGAAGCCATTAACAACTTTGGGCCCATTTGCTTAACTATAAAAAGAAGAGGTTGGACCAGATGATGTCTAAGGTCCCTTCTAGCTCTGATACTTTGTGATTTATTTTTGAGGAATATGACACCAACTTTGTAAATTGGTGTCACTCAGCTTCCAGATAAAACGTATTCATTGTATGAATAATGCAAGGTTAATCTCTCTCCGATTGTAGAGGTTTTAAAAATAAAGTACTACCTAGTGTTATATTTTATTTTCAAAATTCATTCTTACATCTTTAATCTGTACTTAAAACCTACTCTTTAAAGAATATCCACAAACCTGGTGCTCCCAACAAACACAGAGTCTGAAATTGTGACATTCAGTCTGCCACGTTCAGAGTGAACTAGTGAATGGCACCATGTGGCCAACAGCCATTTTTCCTTGCTTTCTAGTTCTGTGTCTGTCCTGGGGTGATAGGACTTGGCATAGTATTCAAGACTAGTGACCAAAGCATGAGATTGAGCTTCAGGCTTTGTTAGCTTGGTCAGTTGGGCAGGAAGTTGGGAGGAGGCACTAAGTCATTTTGAAGGGAGAAATCTGAAGTTTGGGGTAAAGCCAATGTGGGAATCCCAGATGAGACTCGGATGAATTTTTCCCGATGTGATTGTTGCTGTCTCAGCTGGCTTTTATTGGCTCTACCTCATACAGCATATGCTTGTCTCAAAGTTATTTTAAAGGCACTACATACATGACTGTGGACAGCTCTTAGAGTGCCTGTCAAGGACAGGGACTGTGCTTTTGTATTTTTGGCCTTCAGCTGTGCAGAGTAGATATGTACTCAAAAAATGATGGTTCAGTCAATGAATAAATGAACCAGTGAATGAATGGAATGGTTACCTAATTCTTTAGATCTCTACTCCCAGAGTTATTATAAGGATTAAATAAGGTAACGTAGATGAGTATACTTCATAAACTATACATTGTTAAAACATTTTCAGTTGTTACAATGGCAGTCATGGTTACTGTAATGGGCTGAATGTGGACTCCCAAAAGTATGTCCATATCCTAATCCCTAGAACCTGTGACTACTACCCAATATGATGAAAAATTAAAAATCACCTAAAATGTCAAAATATGTGATTAAGTTAAAGATTTTGAGAGAAGGCATTTATCCTGGATTATCTGGGTGGGCCCTAATCCCAACAACAAACGTCCTCATAAGGACATTCTTATAAAAGTGAAGCAGAGAGAGATTTGTCAGACATAAGAGAAGGAGGCAGTGTAAGCACAGAAGGAGAGATTGGAGCGATGTGGCCACAAGTCAAGGAATGCCAACCAGAAGTTGGAAGAGGCACAGAATAGATTCTCCTCTAGAGTCTCTAGAGGGACTGCAGCTCTGCCAACACCTTAATTTCAAATTTTTGGCCTCCAGCACTGTGAGAGAATACATTTCTGTAGTTTTAAGCCACAGAATATGTGGTAATTTGTTACAGTAGCCCTAGGAAATGAATATAATTATTAATAAATAACCTACCCATTCTCTTCGGGTAAGATTGGCTCAGCCTTATTGCTGAGGATGGGTAGAGAGATTTAGTGTAGATATTTAAAAAATTTGTATACAAACAATATTTACTTAGTTTTTTTCAGTGATGAGGTGAAGAGTCCTTAACTCAAGAAAAAAAAAATAGGTACAGGGAGGCCTATAGATTGAGTTTAATGGGACTTAGCTAATTGCTCCAAAAGGAGTCCAATTTTCACTCATTTTACCTTATACTGTTGACCTAAAAGTAACTGACAACATAATCCCCCCTGATTTTAAGGTCCAAATTCAGCTTCTAAAGACTTGCTGACACATTTTAAAAAAGAAAGACCATGAACTGCCTAGGTCTGTTGATTAAAAGTTCTGCATCCATTTCTCACCCTGCCCTTTAAAAATTTCAGTTTTCATCCCATAAATTGTACTCCTTTCTCTGTACTCAGGCAAGATAATATTTTTATTAAAATGTAAAGGTGATTGGTTTTCTCACAAGCGCAGCTGCAAGGTGCTTGAGGGGATGATAGATTGGCTATATTTAATGAGCTGTGTTCCTATTACAGCTTAGGAGAATTTGGAGCATTACACTATATAAATTATAGCCTAATTGCCCTTTAGGCTTTAGCAGCTCAAAATATGCCAAGCTCCAGGTCTCCACACTTTGACATTTGTGCTGCGTGTGCTGTCTATAAAGCCTATGTACCTTATCTATGATTTTCTACACCTCCCCCTGGCCCAGCCTTCCCCTCCTTTCTCGCTGTACTTCTTGGCTTCTTTTCCTAACTTTATTTACATAGACTCCCTTGCTCTTTACAATGTTTGGTTTGTGTAGTGACTTCAACACTGTCTTAGATCTGGACTCATACAAATGCTCTCACGACTGGCGGTCGCCTCTGCAGGTTATGGTGTGCGGTGGGCTGAGCTGTGAACACCAAGAGAGTGAGTGGCTGCAGCTGGTTTTCATTTTGGGAGAGGAGAGGGAGAGACAGAGACTGAGAAGTCAACATAGATAAGGGGAGAGATGACATCGAATGATCTCCAGTCAGTGAAGTCATCCATGTTGCCTAGAGCAAGATGGTCCACTGAAGGCTATGGGTGCAGGGAGATAGTCTGGTTTTACCCTGGCCAAGAAGTTATTTTTTGAACCTTTTGGGAATTGGCTTTTATCCAAGTCTATGTGTACCTGGCTAGCTGGAAGGGGAGTATGTAGAGGGGGCTCTCAAGTTACCTGCTTTGGGAGACCACAGCAGGCTAGAACTTTGAAGAATCCCTGGCCTGGCCTGCCTTTATCCAGCCCACTTAATGGTGTGATGAAAAGGAAAGAGAAAAAGGCCGTGGAGCCCGAGGCTAGATGAAAGAGAAAGGAGCAAGGGTAATCGTCAGGGAGTAAGCATGGAGCCAGGAATTCCAGGGGGGATTTTGAGACCACAATAGACTGAAGAAAGTCAGTCTCCTCTTTGGATGAACATACTGGGTCCAGGGAGGCTTAAGTAGAATAAGGCAGAAATAGAACCCAAGGCACAGTTAGAGAAGTGTTTCTCTAAAAATGTTTCTGATTGTTAAGTCATAAAATGTTAGAGCTGACTATGCCCGTAGAAGTCACCTCGTCCAGTCCTTTCATTTTACACACGAGGAAATTTAGGCACCCGGGGATCCAATGAATTGTCCAATACTCCAGAGTTTTTCAGATGATTCAGGACTAAAAATGTGTGCTCTTTGACTTCTGGTCCATTATTATTCTTACTATGTCTCATTGTCCTTTATATTGGGTACAAAAGATAAGGCAGTCTTTCCTATTCTCCCCATGCTGCATCCCTCCTTTTCCCACCCGTTCCCCACCATTTATGTTCCATTTTTACTGGAAATGAAATAGATGAGGTAAATGTTTTGAATTTTTAAAAACTATGTTTTCAGGTCAAGAGAGCAAGTAACTTCTTGAAAGTTTATTTCCTTAGTCTGAGAGGTCATCTAAGACCTCATTTATAGGACAAGGAAAGTAAGATAGTCCTAAAGATTTGTCAGCTTACCACTTTGCAAGTAAATTATAATATCTTCTTCCTGAGGATTTCAAAACCCCCAAATCTTGCATATTCATATTTCAAAGGATTTGTCCTTCTTGTTAATGAATGAATGAATATATAACTTATACATGCTTATTATTAAGATGTGCCAGGCATTTTACATATGTTGTCTCATTGAATCCTCTCAGTCACACTGTGAGGTAGTGCTATTATTTTCATCCCTATTTAACAGATGAGGAGATTGGGACTTAGATTTATTTGTCCACTCTTCACAGCATTTCCTCATCTTAAGTTGTCATTACTTCTTGTCTGTATAATTGTAATAGCTTCTTATCTGGTTTCCCTGCTTTTAGTCTCCTTCTTAAATGCAGGAAAGAGATGCAAATTATTTGTAAGCATGACCAATCAGAATGAATGCTTATAGTAAACAACCAGTATGGTTATACCCAAAGTATATGGGAGGAATATCCTCCCTGCTTGAATCTGTCCTAAACAGAGCTATGAAAGCCTCTAACTTAACTTGATCCAAAATTTTGGCTAGCTCCTTATTGCCTATAGAATAAAATGCAGATGTCTTACCTTGGCCTTTTATAAAGCCCTTGTGATTTGATCTCATTGCTATCTTTCATTCTTGCCTGATTTCTTACAACCATCTATCACTCAATTTATGCCCCAGCCAACCTTGCCTATTTATCATTCCCCAAATACTATTTTTCTATTCTCTCTGCCTTATCTGTTTATACTTTCTCTTTGGTCCACATTCTATTTCACCTCACTATAATCTAAGCTGTCCCTGTAGGCTGAACTGAGATATCAATTACATCCTCCATGGCAACTTTCTGATACCCACAAGTGAAAGTAAATTTTTACTTTGTGTTGACACAGAAATTTTTTTGGGGGGGTTGGGGTGTATATCTCTTTTGGCACGTAACACATTTTACAGATAGTATTTATACACATTTCTTGTCTACCCCTGATAGATTTTAAACTCCTTAAGGTTAGGGACCATGTCTAATTCAACTTTGTATCTCCCATACAGTATCTGATACCTGATTGTTTCATAAATATCAAATTGAACTGAATATATATCATAGTGATATTTATCATGGGGCTATTGCTATTATACTCATTTTGTGAATTTGGTAACTGATGAACAGAAAGATCATAAGATTTGGCCAAGGGATTTAGAGGCAATTTCAGGCCAGATCCAAATTTTCTTGACTACTAGTCAGTACCCCTTTCACAAGACCCTCAAATGTCACCATAAGGCCTTTCCACACAAGACCATGGACAGGGAACACATTTTTAAACCTCACTAGCCACATATTAAAGTGTCAGCTCTGTTGGAAAGAAGTCCAAAACACGAGGAATCTTAGGTCTAACTGGATTTGGGTTAATATAAACTGGTGGGTCATTTTCATTTTTTTTTTCTCTGAGATATTGAGTTAATTAATACAATTTTTCTTTCTTTTGAAATTATCAGTGGCCTACCAGGTAAGAATAATATTCTGGTCACTATTTCTGGGGGTCATTTTTCTCTCCAGTATTGAAAACCACTACTACCTACCATGGTGGCTAATACAGTTCTTAGTAATGTTGTGATTTACCTGTAACTTTTTCTTAAGCCTTTGTTTGAGAAATCACATCTCTCTGAGCTCCACATTTTAACCAACTCAACAGGCTACTTGCATACTCTGTTCTTTGAAACAGCCCAGACTGCTGGTCTTTCGCATGCTTGGTGTTTACCCCTCCCACCCTGCCTCGTCTTCCTTCCTCTTACCTCAGAAGAAACAAACAATTACCTGAATGAAATCTAAAACTTGCTGGTGTCTTTGTTTGGCAGCTGCAACCTCGCTGTCTGAGATCGCTTCCCTCAGGGACTGTTGGGTATTCAGAGAATCCAGCTCTATGACAGCAGAAAGGCGGCAATACAGACTAATAAATTTCTCCCTGTAGCTACAAAAATGAACTGGAAAATGGACAAGCAAAATAAAACATGTTAAGATCTGGTATCAAAATAGAGAAATTCATACCTCAGAGAAAACAAGTTGAATGAAAACATGATTTATTAATCCTATCAGTGGAAAATATTAAGCCATAAATAAATTATAAATGTACTCTTAAGGGGCCAGTTGTCTGGCTTTAGTCAGACAGTATTCCCTTTTAAGGTTTACCAACTCCTAGTAAGGTATGGGGAAATGAGGTTGGCTCAAGCTGCTGTTTATGTGGACTTTTCTCTAAAGTTGGGGTTGATTAGACATATGTATACACAGACTGGGAAAATAAGCTTGCTTATCACTTTAAAGAAAAAAAGCCAAGTAGCAATTTGAAACCTAGTTTTGGTTTTCATGTCTGATTTCCAGTACGTATCTCACTTGCTCTTTTCCAAGGCCAGAACCCCCAGAAGATATAAGACATGCTTTTTTCAGAGTGTCTTTTGTCTGACTGCTAAACTTCCCTAAGGACCAATTATGAACTTTGATCCTCCTCTGCCTCTTCCCTTCTCAGCTCCTCTGGAGGGATGATGTGAGCTGTTGCCTGGACAGACCTTTTTCATCTTCAGCAGACTTGGTCTTTATCTCTCAAAAGATAACGGGCCACAGGCCACAGCAAAGAGTCTAACCTTCATCTCCATCATTTGCCCTCTTCCAGGAGGAACAGAGCAGTCTAGGATTGAGCGTGGTGCAGGAAGCCTGAGGTGGTCAGATTTTCTATATTTGTCTGATCAGCTCTAATCATATACCATAACTTCAGATTCCAGTGGGATGAGGAGAGCACCCTGATTCTGACTGCTATAGTACCAGGTTCTTCCTGGGCATTGTTGAACTTGGAGGCTTACTCTCCAGCAACCTCTCTTATTCTGGGTACCTCTCACCTATACCAGTGTATTTCATACTTTGGAAATAGGGCTGTAATAATTCAGTAAGTCTATTAAAATATTTTTATTCTGGCTTCTTTTGTGAGGAATTCTAGGAAGAATATCCTTTACTGTCCTTGTGCCCTTTTGCTATTGATTCCCGAGACCTAGATCTGGCCATTAAGGGAAGCTAAAAGCACACTACCTGAAAATGGGGCATCTGGTCATCTCTCCATCTCAGTGAGGAAGCCCTACTTCTCTGCATATTGAGAGATTTCTGTGTACCCTGCACTTCTAATCTTGCCACTGCCTGCTTCCTTCTTGATTTCCTCTAAGGATAAATTTTAGGTGGGTGCAAGGGTAACCTGCTCTGTTTATCTTTCCTCATATGGAAGTGGAAGAGGAGAATGGGATGGGGACATCAGTGGCTCATCCTTACTCCAGCTGTGCCCCATTTCAAGGTGTCTCTTTTTTTTTTGAAACAGAGTCTCACTGTGTTGCCTGGGCTAGAGTGCCGTGGCGTCAGCCTAGCTCATAGCAACCTCAAACTCCTGGGCTCAAGCAATCCTTCTGCCTCAGCCTCCCGAGCAGCTGGGACTACAG